CATCACCCTTTACAGGGTGCATACTGGCAACACTCATTAGACAGCACTATCATCAAATCCTAGGAACAGTTTTAAGATAAATAGGATTTGTTTGATCCTTATTTGATAAAGTAGATTGAATTCCTGGAAGATGGTTGAATTAGGATTCAAGTGCAAGCACTCTACTTCCAAGGTCCATAGTATCTTTTGAGTTACTTTTTTTCCTCCTTTCATGGAAGATTCTAGACTGATGGAATTCTTTCACCTTGACACCATTGATTCTTATTAATTTTATTTTAAGAAAATGATGGAAGAATGATAGCAATTAAGAGCTTGTGTTATCCAACCAACACTGTGTGAATGATGGACTTTTCTTTATCATCCTGGTAACTATTTTGAGTAAGAATGGCTGTAATGGGAGAATCGTAGTACAAACAGAATTGGTTACACGACTCTTGTTGTGAAACTTAAATTAACATGTTTTGAGAGAATTCATTGAAAATTTGTAAGTTAGTCAATAAAGGTAGGAATTCTGTGAGGAATAATTAAAAAAAATCTTAATAATAAAGAACCTGAAAACCTTGCAAAGGAAGAAATAATTATCTGGCTCAGTGGGATGATGTGTTTAAGGATACTGATTTTTGATGTGTTAGCTGCATTCTAATGAGTGTATTTCCCTGGTTCTGGGAATCGCACTCACTCTCTAAAGAATATTCACTTTAGTGTTTTATATTTGAGGTGGAATAGAAGATGTAATCCCTTTATATTTCATGATTAATGCAAACAATGGCAGGTAAAAATACAGTTTCTCGAAAGCATTTTTTTATGTATGTGTCTTTCTGTTCTTCCCAACCAAATCATGAAGATCTAGGGGAACTCTGACTTTCTAATTCTTTTTCAGTATATACCAATTGAAAGCATTTAGTTGTGATTAAAACAGATTGAAGGAGATAATCCCTCTGAGAAAGCAGCTTCAAAGAGCTTACTTACTTAGCAGAGCCTCTTTGGGGATAAGAGCTAACACAACACAAGCTAATTCCTGCAAAGTCTCCCTGGCTGTACTGAGGGACACACCCTCATCTGCTGTTTCCCTGCTTATTAGATGCTCCTCAAACTCCTCTACAACGTGAATCCAGCTTTCAAAAATTTCATACTCATTTTCTTCCCCAAGACCCAACATTTAACCTTTGTTTTAACAGATTCTGTAAAATGTGCATTTGCTATACAGGAAGAGAATACAAGGGATTGAGAATTTACAATTGAATGCTTTCCTAGATGCCTTGTAAATCAGTCATAAAAGACATTCTCCCATAAAAGCACTGTTCCATAGGAACTTGCAAGAAGCCAGTTGTCTTGACACATGGTGGAAACTTACAAAAGCTGAGATTTCCTCCTGAGTCCTCCAAGGCCAGTTTGATAAATAACATTACTGAATGTCTTATAAGTAGTACTATGAAAAAGTCATCTCTCTTCTTGTCATAGCAGAGCTTTGAGACTACTCTCTGTGATCTGGACTACTGTTTGCAAGAAAAAGATTTTTCCTTCCTTGATAATGCTCATAGATACATTTCCTTCTGCCTATGAGTCATCTAATCAGGCAGACAGGGACTTTTGTACCCTCTGGGGGTCAAATGTTTGACACAGAAGAAAAAGAGAGCACTAGGTATGCAAGGAGATAGAGGTTAAGATATTTCTTATTTCCTCAAGTAATCCTTATGACCACAACCTGTTGTGCAGTTTGAAAGCATGCCTTTCAGAACAGGGCACAGGATGGTGAAAGAAAATAGTAAGTGCTTACCATGCGTCAAGGCAAGAGAGGGAATGGAAAGACATACTTGAAATAATACACAAAGAAAGAAAAGTACTAGCTTGACAAGAACAAGCAGAATCCAGGCTCCTGAGTTTCAGATACACACAAAGCCATAAAGTAACCCTAAATAGCTTTCCCTAGCCATTGTGCCAAAATGTAAAAGCTTGAAAGTATTCCTGTTGCATCCACCCCACTCTCTTCCTTCCCCACTGCTTCAAAATGTCTCTGCCTCCCACACTTCCCTATCCCTGCCAAAATTGCAGCAAGTATATTCCTCTCTGATACACCCATAATACTTTGATGGTAGGGGCCTCATGCTAGACTATTATAGGTACTTACTAAGCTGAAGAATTAACCCAATGCACCATTGAGTTTACTAATAAAATCCAGGCTATAGTCGGAAGGGAATTAATATTTTAATACACAGAATACATTTTTTTTCTATGGAAATTTTTAGAAGCTTGAACAATAGTACACAAGCTAATATTCTGTAAGGCACTCCTAGCAAGCCAGAATTTATTGACTGCCAGACTCTGTCCAAATCTAAAGTTTTAATCTAGAGCTTTTGTATGGATCACCTGCCAGCATTTTATCATTTTTCTATATCCCTTTGCTGCGCTGTTATGTGGCAATTGATCTGCTATTTAATTTATAGTAATGGTTATGGGCTGGCATTCATAATAATGGCATATGCTAAAAATGTAACAGGGTACCTCACTGCAATAAAGGAGATAGATACATAGTTTAAAACCTTTTAACACTGCATTGTCCCTGTTAATATTTCACAACACTTTAACTTCTGGAGGGGGAAAAAAACTAGAAAGTGGCATAAAAATAACATGTAAAGTGTTATTCCCACATGCTGTGCTTAGGCTTGGCATGCCTGTTTGCTCCACATTTTCCAAAAATGACAAGAATGCATCCCATCTGATTCATCCCGTGAAAAATTTAAGCGCATATTTGAAAACACAAAATACTGTTTTCATAAACTGCTGAAATCTGTGAGAGTTTGGCAGTAATTGCAGGAACAATGGCGGAACTCTACTTTATTTTTTTCCTTCCCTTTTCTTCTCCTGTCAAACCTGCTGGAATCCTGATGCTGTATTGCTTTCTTATATGTTGAACCACTCCTCCCTAAGACATACCTGTTAGCATCTAAACAGAGATGGACAGTGGCATTTCCCCTACTCCTTAATGACCTGATGTTGATGGCCTTGTGGCGTCTTTCTTTTAAGGATAAAAATAATCTGAACCAATTCTATAAAATAGTATTGAAGTGAGACTACAAAAACTTTCGGAATGTCTATCTTTTTTTTTTCCTTAAGAATTTAAGATCTACTCCTTACTGCATAGTAAAACTTAACACATTATCTTAGTCACTGTTCTGTAGATGTATCCAACCGTCTTATTAAAATAAGAAACACAAAACCAATGTAAAAGAGAAAGCTGAGAGGTCAGAGCTCAGAGCTAAAATCTTACCTCCTGTGGTGCTCCTACCTCCCCGAAAGAGACCTATTTCCTGTGTGTATGTCTTTAAATAGTCTTTCTGTTATGCCTTCTCATTGGTTATAAACCCAAACACATGATTGCCTCGTCACTGCCTGTAAGTACAGCCCTCTAGGTCTTAAAGGCGTATGTCTCCAATGCTGGCTATATCCCTGAACACACAGAGATCTATGGGATTAAAGGCATGCGCCACTACTGCCACGCACTTTCTATGGCTCTAATAGCTCTGACCCCTGGGCAACTTTATTTATTAACATACAATTAAAATCACATTTCAGTACAAATAGAATACCACCATACTGTTCTATTGCTGTGAAGAGACACCATAGCCACAGCAACTCTTATAAAAGAAAGTATTTGATTGGGGCTTGCTTACAGTTTTAGAAGTTTAATCCATAATCATCCCTATGGAGAGCATGGTGGTTTGCAGCAGACATGATGCTGGAGAAGTAGCAGGCAATTCTACATCCATGTCTGCAGGAAATGGGAAGAGAAAAGGACCCTGGGTCTGGCCTGGGCTTTTGAAACCTCAAAGCCCAAAGCCAGTGACACATCCTCCAACAAGGCCACACCTCCTCCAACACAGCCACACCTCCTAATCCTTCTCAAAAAGCACTACTCACTGATGACTAAGCGTTCAAATAAGTGAGTCTATGGGGGTCATTGTTTTTCAAATGACCACACACATGCTCCTGTTCTCATTATCACACCAATGGAGTAACAGTTAAGCTTTTTAATCAGGATCCCTTTATACAAGGGATTCTGTGGCATGTGCAAATCATTAGCATTTTCCTGGCTACTTTTTGCCAACAATTAGAGTGAAGAGCAATTGAAAAAGAAAGCTCAATGTAGTTGACATGACACAACATTCTGACCCAGTTTTGCTAGGGTCCTGGCTTTGTGATGCTCTGCAGCTCTGCACCTTGCACAGCATGTTCACTTTCTGAAAGCTCGAGGTCTACTTTCATGTACCCTGTGCAGTCGAGCTGAGTGCTCAAGAGAACACAGAGTTTGGTGCTTTTCAGTGATGATATCAACCTGATTAGAAACTGTCCGTACATTCAGACTTTTTTGAGGGGAGTTGCAATAACAGAAGTGATAACAGCAAGTATATGATGTGGGCCTTTACTGCATTTTGTACAAAACATTTTCTTATTCAGTATCCATACTTCTAAATTTAGAATTCTAATCCTAATTCATAGAGATGATAGACACCCAGGAGGCCAAAATGTATGAACTTTGCATTAAACAAATGCAAACTTAATTATTTGGCTATGTTTGCAATCTTTTTAAACCACCCTATGCAAATTAAGCTATTGGTTCTTCCTCTTTAATTCAAAGGCTAGTTGTAAAGCATAGCACTGAGTACTGTTAATTATTATTTGTGGTCTAATACACATTAGAGAAAGAGTTAGAACACTGTATGTACTTTACCTTATAATCACAGCATGCTATTTAGGATCACATTTATACTTGAATAGCCATTATGAATGTGTAGTTGAAAAGCCTATCTAGATAGTGGACAAACATGAGTGTTCCTGGGACCTGTTTGGGGTTTTCCAAGGATCAGTTAGAGTAGAATGTTTTAGAGTAGAGTCCCTCAGGCTGGAGAGAAAAGAAAATCGAAGAAGGTGTTGAAATGTTGTCCATAAAAGCACAAATCTTACATTTTATTTTTCAAAGAATATATTTTTATCTCTTTTCTTTATTTGGCAAATTGTCATACAAATCTAAATGCCAATAAAAAGTAAACATCTCAGTAACTATGTTTGTCAATATTTGATTAAGGTGATTTATCCATTTAAAAAATGTTTTTTTTAAATTAAAACATACTCGTATCATTTACTCTTTCTCTTTCCTCTCTCTAACCCCTGCTATGTTCCCCTCTTTTCCCTCTCAAATTCATTGTCTCTCTTTCTTTCATTGTCTTATACAAACAGACGTGCACACACATATGCATAGATGAACACAACCTTCCCTGTCCACTCAGTGTTGTTTGTATGTATATGACTTGGGGGAATAAAGCTAATTCACAGAGTAACTTGTGTGATGTTGATTGTGACATTCTCAGTGTCAAGAAGTTTGCTTTTTGTTTCATCATTTGATGAAATGTTGAAATTCATCATTGTTGAATCTAACGAAAGAGCCCCAGGGCATCCAAAATACACATTCTCTAAACTAGATTCTAAAATGTGTGCCAGACACTTGGGGTAGGACAGGAAAATATTAAATCCATTAATATGGAAATTACCTAGGCGATTTCTTTGGTTCCACCCCCTGTACTGATTATAACATAAACAAGACTCGAAGCATAAACTTTCATGTCTAGTAAAAAAAAAAATGCTGTCTATGTCTGAATTTGTAAGAGTTATTATTTTAGAGAGAAGCCAATTTCTGTTTGCATGCCAGTGCCTTAGGGAGGCTGTTTAATGAGTAGATGTGAAGCCTTTTACAGTTTATTGTTGATGACATTTTGAGGACACTTGCACTTGGGTAGACTGAAACACAATACCACCGGGTGTTTCCTTGAAGGTGCTTTATACATGGCCGTGTGTTATAGCCAATTTTATCTTATCAACTTCTACTTATAATAAGGAAATGTTCAAATACAATAAGCAAAATCTAACAAATGGATTCATTTATCTCTTTGAAAGATAGTATAATTTGCATGTCTGAGATTGGAATCTTTCTTAGGATCAAGGACTTTTAATTTTACCATTGACTCAGTTAAGCTGAAGGTTAGTAACACTCATTTGCTTTTCTGGGGAGACATAAAATTGATGTGACTGCATACTGTTTGTTGACTGTATTTAGAACTTGTAGAAAGGCTTCAAATTGGCAGTGCTATTCTAATATAGATTTATTTGTGGCATGTTGTATTCACAGACATGATGAATTTTACCCCATACTTTTAAAAGGAAAGGAAAAGACAATGTATTTTCTCATGCTGCTATTTCCACTTGGAAGTTTTTGTGAGCCCCTTGTAGTCACAGAATTGATTAAAAAATAAAGAGTGGCCAAAGATGTGATAAGAGGTAGGCAACTTTGTCTGTCTGTGTGGACGAGTGTCACTGTGGCTTCCAGGTCTGAACTGGCACTCAGCTATAGGAGTACCTCTTCATGATTTTCTGTAATAGAATGGGTGCTTATTAGTTCTAGCATTGGTCGAACTAGCCTTGAATGCATCCTTATAAGATTCTTAGTGTAGTCCAAGACATATTTATACACTGGGTCTTAGCTGTAAACTAAATCCTATTGAATTCTCTCTCTC